TTTGCGTCACTGATCCGGTACAAGTATGCAGATAACAGTCACGGGAAAAAAAAATCGAAAATGTTATCTGAATGCTTGTTTTACATCAGGGCCACTGCGACAACCAGGGAGCGAGCATTTCTGGAAAGGAATGTGGGCCTCAACTGCAATCTTTCTCTCATGACAGCTTTTCTAGATTTCATTTGCGCTTTCAGTTTAAAGCCAAACTCCAGGTTTTCTTTCCCTTGAAATAGTTTGTTTGGGCCAAGCTTTTACTTTTCCTAATTGCTGCAACAATGTCAGAGCTGTATATAGCATCAGCTGTATACAGTATACAGCGCTGTGTCCTGGCAGCTGTTCAGGGACTTCCCATCTGCTTCCAGAACAAAATCGTGATGTCTACTGCCTGCCTTGCCACTTCAGCCAATCAGAGGAGGCCTTTCATTCATTGACATAAAACAAGGCTTCCTGTGAATGTTTGAGTGGGACTCGGTCAGATTCAACTTTGTTCCAGCAGCTGACTGATAGTCCCTGTACCACTGCCGATACACAGCGCTGTATACTGTATATGTAAGGTGTATACAGCGCTGACCGTGGGCACATCTATTAGTAAAGGAAAGCGTTTGATTAGGCCAGCTTGGTCCACGCAAACTATTTTTGACTGCCTTTAAAGTGTGCGCTCACCTTTTCAAAATTAAAAGGTGAACTAACACCTTATACCCTTATCCCATTGCACAACCGGCGCCTGCGCACCCCTGTGCACCCCCGGAGTTAAACACTGCACTTACCCATGCAGCCGGTGTAGTGGTCCATTGATTCCAAAGCCCACTCTTCTTCCCTGTCTTTTCTTAAGGCTTCTGGGCCAGATCAGACTAATTCTGATTGGTGGAATGCTGGCACATGATTGCTTTGACCACTTGGATACTCACCTATCAGTCCCGGAAGACAGGGAAGAAAAGCAGGGCTTTCAAATCTCTGTACCTGTTCACTGGCTGCGTGGTCAGTGACTGCTAATCACCCACAGAGGTGTATTTACAGTGAGGACCAGGGGTGGTGGAGGGTGTTCACTTTTTCAATTTCTTTAAAAATTTGAACTTGCAATTTAAAGTAATTGAAACAGGTTGAATTGTTGCACCCAGTTACATTGTTATGTTGTGTGAACCATCTCTTAGGCAAGAAGTTCATAACACACAGAACACATGCGATATGAACATGCGATATGAACATGTGATGCTTCAATACACGGCAGTGTCCGCTTTTTAAAAAAATTCTTCTTCTTCAGCTCACTGCAATGCATTACAGCATGTCCATATAACATGTATGTTGGTTCTGTGTGCTTGCAGCACTTCACAATGTACTGCATTGCACACATCTAGAACATCCTGGTCTTTTTTCTGCACACAGTGGAGGTGTCAGACCTCTGGAAAGCCCACTGCTATCCCACAGAAGAGTCTTTCCTTGCAGCATGCTGCCGTTGGTGTGAACTGAATCCACAGAACAGAATTGCCTTGTTTCTTCCTTGGATAGTGCAACTCCACCGGGCGGGTGTGAACAAGACCTATTATTTTTCATGTGTTCTATTGGTGATCAGTATATTTGTCATCTGCTCTTCAGAATCGCACACTTCCAGCTAGCCATGTAGATGTCTTATCACGTTTCCTAGCAATCTGGCCGTGTTAGTAATTGCTGGTCATGAGCACTATGATTGGACAGAACAGGCTCAGTGCCGTGGAAATGCTGACTTTTTTTGGTGTTCTTTCAGCTGCTGCTTCTGCTGATTGAATATACTAGAAGGTTTTCCTGTACCATACCAAAGCACTTTCCAAACACAGATTGTGCTGGTCCTGAAGGGCTGATAGCTACACCTTTGGGCATAAAGAGGTTAAATAAAGCCCATAACGGTGACTCTCCATGCATCAAACAATTTATGTTCTGTCTGTCCGCTTCGACTTTTTTTTTTTTGCTTCACTGTTTACAAGTTATAATAAGCAGAGTACTATTTTTGTTTCACTAATTATTTAGAAGTAGTCTTAAGCTGGCCATACTCTCTTAGACAGGGGTGGCCAACCTGCGGCTCTCCAGCTGCTGCAGGACTACAAGTTCCATCATGCCTCTGCAAGTCAGTAACTTCCCATCTTTGCAATGCCTCATGGGAAATGTAGTTCCACAACAGCTGGAGAGCCACAGGTTAGCCACCCCTGCGAGGTAACCAAAAAATAACAGATTTCTCTATCCGTGTTATACAATGGACAAATCTCCTGCTGCATGTATTGTTGTGACATTCACTCCCGGCTGAATACCTGAACGGGGGCCGCATCTGATTGGATGCAGCTGCTGTTTGTCCAAAAATTTTCCATCTGGCCCCTTCAGTTTCTCAAGAAAAGCAAGTTTGGCAGGAGAGTGGCGTCAGGGCCACCCAAGGAGCATGGATCATCAAGAATTTGCATAGTGTATGGCCAGCTTTACCCCCCCCCCCCCCTTCCTTATTTTTCATTGTTTTATATGGCGCTTGCCTCAATGGGGCAAGACCATTTGTGTGTCTCTTGCACAAGATCTTGTCATCTGCAAATACAAAAATACATTTAGATGTAGTACCAACAGCCTTATTTCTGAGTTATATTTGGAACAACACAGCACCTAATTGATGTCTAAGAGTAGTTTAGTTAGCAGGCCAATTATTGTTAAGTGTGCTAATAGCCCAGTGTTTCTCAACTCCAGTCCTCATGGACCCCCAACAGGTCATGTTTTCAGGATTTCCCTCAGATGAAACAGCTGTGGTAATTACTAAGGCAGTGAAACTGATCAAATCACCTGTGCAAAATAATGGAAATCCTGAAAACATGACCTGTTGGGGGTCCATGAGGACTGGAGTTGAGAAACACTGTAATAGAGCAACATATTTGTGGTCTTGACTCCATGGAACTCTGCCTTCGGCAACCTGTAGGTCTTTGGCTGTTATTTTACACAAAAAGACTGTTAGCTGCTCTTAACGGTTTCCAGATGTACAAGGCTAAACATTGGCTGAAAACTGCAGGTCTCCTACTGTGATTGTAATAAATGTATTTTATGACTTTTTTTATTGGATTTATTACATATTTAATACCAAATCCAACATGGATACAGCTAAGTAGCAAACCTCATCCTAATACTAGAACACTACTTCCCAGTCTGCACGTTCGGCACTTTGTATGCATCCAGAATATGTCAAAGGTCTGGATCCTTTCCACTAAGGATGGAACCTTATTAAAAGAAGTAACTATCACAAAGTAAATATCTACAATTTAGATACGGCTTATAACCGGGTTGGACAAAGTATTGAAGAACTTAGACATCAGAGGACAGGAGCTTCAGACAATGCTGAAATAAATGAAATCGGTAAAAATCTGTATTTTTTTACACTGGCTATCTGGCTTCTAGTATTTGTCCAACTCCGACTTTTTAATGTCTGTTTTTCGGCACTGGTTTGGTCAAAAAAGTGTGTGTGACCTCCGATTTAACCTTCATTTTCTGTCGGTCTGGTCAGATTTGGTTTTAGTCTTCGTGATTTGCCTGTCAATCATCTTTTGATGACATTTTGCTTTCCACGATTTTTGACGATGAAGCTACTGATTTTGCAACCGTTTTAACCGGGCAACTAGCAAAAAAAATATTGAAGAGAAAACCTTTTCCAAGAGATGGAATTTTTGCTGTGAATTTGTCGTGTGATCATAAGCCAAGAAACACTGAACCTTATGATTGTCAACTGTATATAAATGTCAATTTCTCTGACCATATATCATTCAGATCCCATGTCTAGACTACATAACATTACATTTGGAGGACATTGTGGGCCTCAACTTATTTACTGTGATTGTTCCTATGTTGTTAACCAAGTTTCTGACCACTAATGCTTTGAAGTGCACATGGTACCTGGGCTCAGTGGAGCAAATCATTTTCTAAAATGTCCCAATGCTGATAAGAATGCAGCTGATCAGATGGTGTCCTACATCTACTGCCCATAATGTTCCTGATGGTAAGCTGTATTGTCATCCGTTTTGGTTCAGTCCACAAGATGCCCTCCTTCCCATTGTGTGTAGACAAAATGTGTATTTTAAATTGCTTTGCAGCTGTTGTGCTGGGTCTGTGGTATTATGAAGCTACTCGTTTCAGTTAATGTACAGGCTGATTCCACTACCCAGTTTTATATTTTGCCATTTGCTCCATTTCAAGATAAATAAAGTTCTGTTTTGTAATTTTGGATTAGCAGTATTATTATTTTTTTTTTCTCAAAAATGGTCCTCCAAGACCCTAGAGATTTTATCTGACAATTAGAGTTATTATTATACAGGATTTATAGTGTCAACAGTGTGCACAGCGCTTTACAAAATGGAGGTAGACATTACAGTTACAATACAATTTGGTACAAGAGGAAACAGAGGGCCCTGATCCTGGGAGCTTACAATCTAGAAGGAAGGGTTGAATGATACAAAAGGTAATAGCTGTGGAGGGATGAGCTGATGGAGGAAATAAATGGCAGTTTACTAGGCAGAAGCAGGATAGGCTTCTTTAAAGAGAGGTTTTCAGGGATCGTCTAAAGGATAGATTAGGAGATAGCTGGACAGATTGCCTACGGAGTTCCATAGGATGGGAGAAGCTCGGGAGAAGTCCTGAAGGTGAGCATGGGAGGAGGTGACATGGGAACTAGAGAGCAGAAGGTCTTGGGAGGATCGAAGAGAACGGTTTGGTTCATATTTTGAGACCAGGTTGGTGATATAGCCGAGAGCAGATTTGTGGATGGCTTTGCAAGTTGTTAGTATTTTGAATTTTATTCGTTGGGTGAGTGGAAGCCAGTGGAGGGATTGGCAGAGAGGGGTGGAGGACACTGAGTGGAGGCCAGTGGGGGGATTGGCAGAGGGGGGTGGAGGACACTGAATGGAGGCCAGTGGAGGGATTGGCAGAGAGGGGTGGAGGACACTGAGTGGAGGCCAGTGGAGGGAGGGATTGGCAGAGAGGGGTGGAGGACACTGAGTGGAGGCCAGTGGAGGGATTGGCAGAGAGGGGTGGAGGCCAGTGGAGGGATTGGCAGAGAGGGGTGGAGGACACTGAGTGGAGGCCAGTGGAGGGATTGGCAGAGGGGGGTGGAGGCCAGTGGAGGGATTGGCAGAGGGGGGTGGAGGACACTGAGTGGAGGCCAGTGGAGGGATTGGAGGGGGGTGGAGGACAATGAGTGGAGGCCAGTGGAGGGATTGGCAGAGGGGGGTGGAGGACACTGAGTGGAGGCCAGTGGAGGGAATGACAGAGGGGGGTGGATGACACTCAGTGGAGGCCAGTGGAGGGATTGGCAGAGAGTGGTAGCAGACACTGAACGGTTGGTAAGGTGAATGAGCCTGGCAGAGGTATCCATGATGGACTGGAGGGGGGGTGGCCTATGAAAAGGTAAGCCAAATAGGAGGAAGTTGCAGTAGTCGAGGCGAGAGATAACCAGGAAGTGAATTAGGAGCTTTGTGGTATCATTAGTTAAAAAGGGGCGTATTCTGGAGACGTTGAGACGGCATGATTTGGACAGGGACTGGATGTGGGCCTGAAAGGATAGTTCGGAATCCAGGGTTACCCCCAGCACCCAGGCATGCAGGGATGGGTTGATAATGGTGTTATTGATCCTGACCGAGAAATCGGGAAGAGGCACGTGGGGGAGGAAATATTATGAGCTCAGTTTTGGATAGATTGAGTTTTAGGAAGTGGTGTGACATCCAATCTGATATGTCTGTTAGTAAATCGGTGATACGGGAGGAAACTGATGGGGAGAGCTGAGGAGTAGAGAGATAGATTTGTGTGTCATCAGCATAGAAATGGTATTGCAAACCATGGGAAGCTATCAGCTGACCCAAGGAAGACATGTAGATGGAGAATAGGAGAGGTCCAAGGACAGAACCTTTGGGGACCCCGACAGTAAGAGTAGGAGAGGTCCAAGGACAGAACCTTTGGGGACCCCGACAGTAAGAGGAGGAGGAAGTAGAGTTGTAAGTGACACAGAATGTGCTGTGAGATGGGTAAGATTTGAACCAACGGAGAGTACAGTCATGGAGACCCAAGTTATGATCAAGAGTTATGTTTCACATGCCAATTCCAAAAATATTGGAGAATGCAAATATTTCTTTTGTTCAACTCCTTTACAAGAAGGACTGTCTTTAAAGTCAATAAAAAAAACAAATATGTTCTACTTACCTGCGCTGTGCAGGGTTCTGTATGGAGCAGCCCCAATCCTCCAATTCCTGGGTCCCCCGCTGGCGCTCCTGGCCCCTCCCTTTTGTCAAGTGCCCCCCAGAGCAAACAGCTTGCTTTGGGGGCACCCAAGCAGGCTAGCTCCCTTCACACACACAGAGCCATGGCTTGACACCCACCCATTCTTATTGGCTTATGGCTGTGAAAGAAAGCAGTAGGATCTCATGTATATTAGCTTCTTTTTTATTTGAATTGTCTGTTGTCAGCACAAACTGACACCAATGTCTTCCACAGAACAACAAATGATTTGGCTACAGGGCTGTTGTTAGGTTGTATGGGGCCACATGGTTTCTAACTGACAGGGCCACCCCATCCAAAAATATAAAATGATATGTTACACTTCGCAGCCATGGCAAGGGAAGAGCGCCACAAAGCACGCGGTTGCAGTGCACTAGTGTGTGGTTAAAGCAGGCAGTGAGGAAGCTATGTGCATCCCAGCCGCCTGTCAAATGCTGAGTGCTCTTCGGAGAGCAAAGCACATCTGAACAAGTACCTTTTTTTTAAGTATTTTTTAGAATTTGATTTTTTTTTTTTTTTTAACTTTTTTTTCACCTGCCTGTTGGGGGCCTTTGGTGAAATATCAGAAGACTAAACCGATCCCCTGATGTCTCAGAATTGAGATAGAGAAAGGGAGAAAGAACATAAATTCATCATTCCCTCTCCCTGCGGCCTCAGCTGCACTGAACAGTGAATGAATGGGAAGAGCTCTGAGGCTTCCTGGTTGTTCATAAACTGAAGCATGGGGGGGTTTGCACACAGGGGGACCTGACAGCAGGTGGAAAGGAGCACCGATCCAAAAAACGATCCCCCTGCAGTGCAGCTGGAGGGAGAAAGAGGAGTAGAAGCCAACAGTGCTGCAGAGAAATCAACAAGTCTCAAGTGTTGGCAATAAGGCAGTACAGCTGGCCCTCCTGCTTAATAGGTTCCCAGGCCGTGTACAGGAAGACCAGCTGTACTGCCCGATCAGCGGCCCTGTTTAGCTACAGTGGGGATGGAAAGTTTGGGCACCCCAGCTAAACATTTGTATTAATGTGCATAAAGAAGCCAAGGAAAGATGGAAAAATCTCCAAAAGGCATCAAATTACAGATTAGACATTCTTATAATATGTCAACAAAAGTTAGATTTTATTTCCATCATTTACACTTTCAAAATAACAGAAAACAAAAAAATGGCGTCTGCAAAAGTTTGGGCCCCCTGCAGAGTTAATATCTTGTACTGCCCCCTTTGGCAAGTATCACAGCTTGTAAACGCTTTTTGTAGCCAGCCAAGAGTCTTTCAGTTCTTGTTTGAGGTATCTTTGCCCATTCTTCCTTACAAAAGTCTTCCAGTTCTTTGAGATTTCTGGGCTGTCTGTCACGCACGGCTCTTTTAAGGTCTATCCATAGATTTTCAAACGATGATTTTGTGGTGAGGACGTAGAAGAGGTTTTCTTCTGATGACTCTTCCATGAAGACCATATTTATACAAGTATCTCTTTATAGTGGAATAGTGACCACAACTCCAGTGTCTGCCAGATCTTTCTGGAGGGATCGTGCAGTCAAACGTGGGTTTTCAATTGTTTTTCTCACAATCCTGCGAGCTGTTCTGTCTGATATTTTTCTTGGTCTTCCAGATCTTGCTTTAACTTCCACTGTTCCTGATGACTGACATTTCTTAATTACATTCCGAACAGAGGATATTGACATCTGAAAACGCTTTGCAATCTTCTTATAGCCTTCTCCAGCTTTGTGCTTAGAAGAACCCATGGTGCTGATTGTTGGGGCAAGGTCAGATGAGTCGGGGCATTTAAAACCTTTGAGATTGACATCACCTGGTCTTCCCAGACAATGATTGAGAACAATCCATGACACTGGCAGGTCTCAGCTTTGCAAAGGGGGCAGTGCATGCTATATATTCTGCAGGGGGCCCAAACTTTTGCAGACGCCATTTGTTTTTCCTGTTATTTTGAAAGTGTAAATGATGGAAATAAAATCTAACTTTTGTTGACATATTATAAGAATGTCTAATCTGTATTTAGATGCCTTTTGGAGATTTTTCCATCTTTCCTTGGCTTCTTTATGCACATTAATACAAATTTTTAGCTGGGGTGCCCAAACTTTCGATCCCCACTGTATGTTGAATATTTTGGGATAAAATACAAGCACATCTGAATGATCCAAGATTTTTTGCTTGCTTATGGAATTATCGGAGGTAGGGACTTTCAGAGATGGGATCATTCGTAATGTCAATTTACATTTAAATGTCCTTGGCCAAGTTAGGAAAACTTACATCTACCTGCTATTGATAAATGCTCATGATGGCCTGATCTTCTGAGAATATGCCACCACTTTGCTAAATTATTTTGGCATTTAAACTGGTTCTTTAAAAATAGCGGGCCCCATTTATCAAACGGTCTGAGGACTATGTCTGACAGTGTGTGGTACTCCAAAACAAACGATTACAACTGGCAGTTGGGAAATCAGAGTTTGTATCTAGTTGTAGGATAATACAATTGTCCTGCAGCTTTATACCGTGATAGGCTAGTATGCACCAAATATTCACACATTATGGAAGACTTGCCTGTCAAATGTCCTTCAGTGCTATGCTGTCTCCACTCCAGCAGGTCCCAGCCATCCTAGCCCCATCTTAGCCATCTTAGTCATCCAAGCCCCATCTTAGCCATCTTAGCCATCCTAGCCCCATCTTAGCCATCCTAGCCCCATCTTAGCCATCCTAGCCCCATCTTAGCCATCCTAGCCCCATCTTAGCCCCATCTTAGCCATCCTCCTGGATTTATGCTCTCTGGCAGCTTGAATGGCTGGGCCACCATGTCATCAGTCCCGTGCATGCGTGTGGGAGTCACTTCACCGTGGCACATAGTGGCTGCTGTAAATGTGATCTGAGCATCTCATTCGTGGCTAAGATTACATTACAGCTGACAGGCCAGGAGAGGCATTTATAATGGAAGAAACCACTAGGGTCTCTTCTATTATACAAACCCTGCCTGTTGGCACTTTTTTTTTTTTTTTTTACTGTGAGAGGTTATTACCACTTTAAAACCTGGTTTACAGCTTTGGGTTTTAATGTGCATTTTGTAATGCATGCAAAATACATCTGTCACACAATTACAATGCGTCTAATGCCATCTTTCACGTGCTTTGTTGTTAAAAATGGGGCATGTTCAATTTTTAGATGTATTCATAGGTGTTTTATTTATTACAGGTACTTATATAGAGCCAGCAATTTACATATATATTTGTACATTCACATCAGTCCCTAACCCTCAAGGGGTGTACAATCTAAGGTCCCTAACTCACATTCATACATACTAGGGTCAATTTAGACAGAATCCAATTCACCTACTAGCATGTCTTTGGAGTGTGGGAGGAAACCCACGTAGGCACAGGGAGAACATGCAAACTCCAGGCAGGTGGTGCCGTGGTTGTGGGATTCGAACCCCCGTACTGCCAGGTGGAACTGCTAACCATTTAGCCACTGTGCTACCCAATTCTGGCTTGTTGAAGTCTATGGAAACACATGACTGCATGCATTGTGCAATTTTCATACTTTTTTAATGCATTTTCAACTTGTGGGTGAGCTTGATGGATGGATGACAGGCTTCCCTTGATTCCAAGCGCCTCCATTGGATACCTACCATGTGCTCAAATACAGTTCACTTGCTATGATATCTTCCATGTGCTCAGCCACAATGAACAATGTGACAGTTGCTGCAGCAGTGAAAACAATGGTATCAAATCAGCCATTCTTCTACAGAGAACCAGGCAGCACATTCCCTTATGATGTCACTACAGGGAAATCATTCTCTAGTTAAAACCAAAAAAGTACAATGCATGAAAAAACATGTAAAATGTGCAAAAATGAACATTAAAAAAAATGCATTAGAGTGGAAACAGATAAGTGTGAATGGGGCCTAAGGCCACAGGTATTAAATCAGAACCCAAAGTGCATGTGAGGCGCTATGTCTGCCTTGTGTACCCGGGTCTGGTACTTCACCCCAGCTTATCACCACTCAATGGGCTAAAAAGCAACAGACCACCTCCTGCTCCCAGCAATTCAAATAAAAGTATTCTCAAAGAGTATGTAAAATACCCCAAAAATCTGTATGGAAAGGTGGTGACCACAAAGTCAATAAATATATTCACAGTCACCTTTTATACATAATGCATAGAAGGTGACTGATAGGAATGGATGCAACATATGGATTCTAAGGCCCCGTTCACACTTGTACCATTCCAAAGTTGCACGACTTTGGAGTGCAACTTTAAAGCAACTTTGATGCAACATTGAATGGGTCCAAATTGGATATGACTTTTGCTTTTATTAATGATAATGGACAACTGTTTCATGTATAACATTCAGGTGCAACTTTCATACCACTTTTGAGGGTTTTCAT